GGGGGAGCTCTGTTCCCAAGAAAGAGGAGAGACGGCTGGGGGATCCCAGCGAGCGGTGTCTGCGTCCCTTCAGCCGCTCCCCGACAGGTGGCCCGGGTCAGAGACGCGCAGACTTCGGTTCCCCGGGCCAGGTGAGAAACGCTCCCCCGCGGCCCGGGGGACTCCAGATGATCTAGGAAATACAGGTTACAGCGCAAGCTCAGAGGACTCCTGCGTTTGAGAACAGCTATTTCTTTTATGCCTTTGGCCATCAGGGAAAGTACTCTGGCAGAGGCATAGCATCCTGCCGCGTGGTTTAAATGTCAGGACCTTCGTTCTTTCTGTCTGGCTGTAACCTGTCATGGTGTATAGCATCTCTCAGCAACGGTGGACCCGGTGCATCTAGAAGGGTCTCGGTCTTTCAAACTCGGTTTCCCATACTCTTGGCGGAGCTAAGCTCATTTCAGGGGGTCTGAACGCCGGAACTGGCTGAGGGTCTGACGGAGCCCATCTGGCAGGGCTGGGAAAGGCAAGGGTTGTAGCTCTGGGGCCATGCTTTGGGAGAAAAATGCACTCAGACGGGAATGGGCTCAAGCCCCTGACCGTGTGTCAATGGAACCTCCAGGTCTGGTCACAATGGCTCGTTAGGCTACGTCACCCCTAAGCTCTATTCCTATTCCTGTTTGGTTGTTGTCGTTTTAACTTTAAATTTTCTCAAGCTAGCACTCATCCCTGATTTCAATCGGTCAGGCGTCTGTGAATCCTACTTTCGACATCAAACCTAACAGGTCTCGCTCCCTGCCTTGTGTTGTGTGCAAATTTCAGACCCTGAATCCTGGAACCAATAAAAACTCAAACCAGCCAGTCAGAGAAACCACAATAACCCCTGTAAGAAAATTATTATAGCTCACTTCCAGGTTATTCAAATGCACAATTTAAAAAAATCCATTGGGGCGCCTGGGTGGCTCAGTCTGTTAAGTGTCAGACTTCAGCTCAGGTCATGATCTTGTGGTTCGGGAGTTCAAGTCCCGCGTCAGGCTCTGTGCTGACAGCTTGGAGCCCGCTCCCGATTCTCTGTCTCCCTCTCTTTGCCCCCCCCTGCTTGTGTGCTCGCTCGCTCTCTCTCAAAAAAAGAATAAATATTTTTTAAAAATCAATCAATCAATCCATTAGAGAGCTTACAAACTCCATGAATGCCAACACTTCCGTGAAATGGTCCATTTTATTCTGAGGTTGCAATACCAGGGGCCATTTAATCTTTGGGAAGCTAAACCAGAAACCTCAAAAAGGCAAGTTATATATGCCTTTGCAGACAGCCTGATGCCTCCACAAGTCTGCCAGGAGCATGTCTAGAAGACTACTGAACACACCCAAGGTTCCACAAAACCCTACCTCTGCCCGTCACACCTGCCTGGCCAGGAGCCACGATGGGTCCCTCTCCAGGCGTGCCTCGCCCACTTACAGAGCTGGCTGGGGTGACAGGCAGGGACAGACACCAGACTACACACCGTCATAGGGCATTCGCTCTTCGGAAAGAAATCGGGGGGCTACTGGGAAGGGATGGACAGTGGCAGCCAAAAATCTGACAAGTGCCCATGACTGTCACACTGTTTACTTCTTTCAGAGAGCTTCACACACACACTTACATTCACGCCCGTATTTGTCTCTCTCTTCCGGAATACACGTTTCCATAAGATTAGGGGTCCTTCATGTCTACTCACCACTGAATCGGACAGGCCTATTACACAACAGACAAGAAGCATTCACCGAATGAATGAACGGGTCCCCAGTTGCTTTTCATTTAAGTGAAAATTCTCAAGCTGATCGTATTTTCGTGAGTTTAGTTAAAAATACAAACCATCTCATTTTATCAAACCTCCATGAAGACACAGTTTGGTATTTAGGTTACAGGTGTACGATTGGGAGCTCAATCCTTTTCTGTGATACACAGGGATTATTAGAGCCACCACTTAATAGATTAACGTTTCAGATACATGAAGCCTATCTATTCACATTCAAAGGTTTTCTGTAACTTGTCTTTATCTAAATCAGTCAGGTCTCTTCTCCTAAATGAGAATATTAAATGAATGGCTACTTTCATAAAATAAAGATGTGACTAGCAGAAATAATCCGTGACTTCTTTAGTATCTAAAATGATAAGACCAAAGACTTTGCGTCATGAGTTTTACAAAAAAAGAGTCCCCTGTTCGGTGTATCATTATCCCAACAGAGGCTGGGGACACTCGGGAAAGCGAGGCTCCAGGAAGTCAAGCCACTGGTGCAAGGCTGGTCGCCGAGCAGGGATGTGATCCCAGGTCTGGCTGCGCCCAAGCTCATGACGGTTTATGTTATTACCTATAACTCCTGAACGTCCTGCATCTCCTCTGAGCACCTCGCATCACATCTGACATACCATCCGTGGTGGCTACAGCTACGTCGTGACGTGCAATGCTGCCCATCATAGACACAAAACACCATCAGCCGGAAGGTACGTCACAACTTCAGAAACGGTCAAATGTGTGTGTCTATCCACACGTTTACACGCACACGTATAGACACCTCAGATCCAAGAAAATACAGTAAAGCGCTGGCCTCACAACAAATTATTCCTAATCAATGTTATAAAATAGGAGCGCCTGAGTCCTTTAGAAAACGTTGCCATGGGGGCGCCTGGGTGGCACAGTCGGTTAAGCGTCCGACTTCAGCCAGGTCACGATCTCGCGGTCTGTGAGTTCGAGCCCCGCGTCGGGTTCTGGGCTGATGGCTCAGAGCCTGGAGCCTGTTTCCGATTCTGTGTCTCCCTCTCTCTCTGCCCCTCCCCCGTTCATGCTCTGTCTCTCTCTGTCCCAAAAATAAATAAACGTTGGAAAAAAAAAAAAAAAAAAGAAAGAAAAAAAAAAAGAAAACGTTGCCATGAAGTACAGAAAAAAAGAAAGACAAATCTTAAGTGTGAATAAAGTTAGATGAAACTGCAAACATTTCCTACTGCACAGCCTCTTTAAAAAGTGTTTCTGTTCATCTCTGGCATTAAATCATACTTTTTGTAGCGTGAAGAGCTGTTCACATCTCTCCCGCCCATCAACACTGACCATCCCCTGGTCATATTTTCATACATCAGAGCGCATGGGAAGGAAGACCACTTTTTTGAATATGCCACGAAAAGGGACTTTAAATCTACCTGCTGTTCTTAACTTCTGTTTGTTTTCCAAAAGTTAAGGAAAGTAATAGATTTTCGTTCCATAGTGAAGAAAAACAGACTCTTTGCTGACGACACAGCTGTAGATCTCTATGAAACCGAAGACCACCATCACCTGGAAAACCACTCTCCATAAAGTCTACACTTGAATGACCGGCTGGAAACGTCTTCAGGGCCTCCTGCCTCGCAGCGTGCTCAGGTCGTAGGCCCACACGGTGTCTACCCCCTCCCCAGTGACGTGGTCTGGGGTCCAGCGAGGGAAAGGGAACCGGCAAGCAATGACTCTGGCGTCATCCTTCAGTTCAAGCTCGAGTTTCTCCTCCAACTGTGGCATCTGTGCAGAACGAGAGTCATTATTTCAGTAAGCAGGGAGTCGGAGGAAGAGACTCCCAAATGCTCGTTTGGATTTGAGGGCCTGAAAATACCTGTGCAGGAATTAGGAGCTGTAGAAAAGATCACTCCGGGGCATAAACACATTATCAAACGATCCATCAAATCACGAAAGTCACATTAGCAACGGTTACAAGAACATCTTCTATCAATCATAAAGTAAGCCATTTTTAGCAGAGATGACAGATTTCCCATTTTCTAACTAAAACCATGATGTGGCAGTCATTAAAATGAGAAGCAGCTTTATTTTCCCACCTAGCATCTCAATCCACCCTGTCTCAACTATTTCACACATTTTCCCACACATTTTAACATCTCTAAAATCAGGATACACCTTACAATGGACATAATCTTAGATTTACAATTGGCAGTATTTTTTTCTTTCTCAACAGCAATGGGGCATCTTAAAATTGACAGCATCTAGATTCAGTGAGATACGGTATTATTAAATTAGACCATGAAAAAACAGACTCTACCAACTTGAAATATAATGAAATATTTCATAATTCTTCAAAAATGTATCGATAATACACTGATAATTTGTTGACAATCAACATATCTTCTAAAAAGTAAAATCCTTTTATCATTTTTGTATCCTTTTATTACCAATCTACCTGCTGAAAACACTGTCATCGTAATCACAACGGCAAATTAACAATCGCTTAAAAATTTATCTTCAGATCCTACCAGCTTTACCTCCTAGAAGTATTTTTTCCACTTTCTTCATTTGTTATTCTGAAGTCATTTCAAATTTAGAGAACAGTTGCAAGAAGAAAACAAAGGACTCCGTACTTCTTTACCCGGCTTCACCAATTCTTAATACTCTGTCATATTTGTTCTCTCCAATCTGCCCTCTTCCTCTATGAATATTTTTCCTAAACCATTTGGGAATAGGTTGCACACACATGCCCCTTTGTTCCTTGATGCCTCAGTGCTTCCTAAGACATAAGCCCAGCTCAGTTATCAAATTCAGGATATTGAAGATTGTATTCCAATAATAATAATTCCAATCGCATTCCAATTTTGCCTAAAGTCCCAATAACGTCCTTTATGATGTTTTTCCTTACGATGTCATATTGCATTCAGCTAGAATGTTTCCTCAGTCTACTTCAATCTGGAGCAGTTCCGTGACCTTCCTTTGTCTCATGACAGCTTTAGGAATACAGGCCAGTTATTTCCCCAGTGGCCCGCACCCTGGATCATCTGATGCGTGCTCGTGACGACTCAGCACGTGCATCTTTGGCGATGCCCCACAAGAGGGGCAGTGAGCTTCTCAGGGCCCCACAGTCAGGCACCCGTGAGGACTTTCTGCTTTGAGACTGATGGTCACCACCTGGCATCTCCATAGTGGGGTTACTAATTTTCCTTCATAATGAGTAATTTGTCAGACTTAGCTTGAGACGATGTGAATATCCTGCTGCTCATCGAACTGTCCCTCACAAGATGCAGCATTCTTGATGACCCGCCTGAGTCAGTTTTCCCTATACGGTTGCAGAGTGGCCATTTGCTAATTCCATCATTCCTTCCAGGCTGACAGTCAGCATTCTACCATAAAGAAGAACTCTCCCTTCTTTTCTACCTATCTACCTATTGCCATAAGTAACAGCTCCCAGATTCCTATCTCGTTCAATGGGTTGTAATCCACTATCACCCTTGTTTCTTCTGATGCTCAGACTGCCCCCGTCTGGCCACCAGGAGCCTCCTCAAGTTGGCTTCTCTCTCCTTTGGATGTGCCCCAACAAATATTCTGAACACTTCCTTAGACTTGGGATCAACAAAATACCCCAGGCTTTTGTTATTGGTCCCCAACTCAGCCCTCAGATCAACCACCTCTCAAACATTCCTGGTTCCTCTAAATGGGAAATGCTGTCTCAAAACCAAGACCTGAGCAAAATGAATCCCTTTAAAACTACAAACAAATCGACAGTGCTTCTATAAAAACTTTACTCCTGATCTATATCTTTAAAAAGCGGCTTGGGGAAAGTCCTCTACGTGGCCTAAGGCTACAGAGAGTCAAAATTCTAATTCTTCATTACAATTAATACCAATATAACCAAAAGTAAATTCCATTAAGGATGGGATGTTTCTACTCTTTTAACAGCCAGTGAAAGATTTCTTTAAAAAAAAGAAAGAAAGAAAAGAAAGTTTTGTTCCTTGAGGGAAACATTAAATAGGCAAAGAATGAGACAATATGTATGTTTCCAAAGTATCAGAGATTTCTTACGGTAATTTTATTCATAAAAAGAATAATTGTAAACTTATTCATGTTACCATGATTCTTTTCTCTTTTACGGTTTCCTTTATTTCCCAATGACTGTCATATGCTAAGTCAAGATAAACCCACAAATGAAAGGAGCTATTTCAATCACAAGAAATTAACTGGCTAAATTACACATAAATATGCAATGAGCCCGGGTCTTGATATCACGCACAAAGAGAGGCAGTGATGTGTCATGTCTGTCTAATGGAATTCAAAATTATTCATACAATTATAGTCTCAAAGTGACACGAACTCGTCATATTCTAATTACATCTTCAAAACTTTAAGCCTAAGTTGAAACCAGCTCTAAGACATAGGACAACTTAGCCATACCCATGAGCAGCTCTTGAGCCCCTTGACGTCTCCCTCCTCCCCAAAACACTGGCTTCACTGCGCTCCTAGGGTAACCGCCACCCCCCCCAGGGCTTTCCTCCTACCCAACGCCTCCTCTAGGGTCCTTGGCTGGGTGCCCTCATTTGTCAGAGGCCAGAACTCCAGACCCGACCCGCTCTGCCTCCTCCCGGGTGACCTCGGCCACTCCCGGGCTTCAGCTCCCTCGGGGACTGATGCGCAATCTCCAGCCCCCTCCCCTTCCTGAGTCTCAGACCCCCTCCGCCCACTGCCAACCTCACACCTCCACACACATCTCGGGCTTCACCTGCCCGAGGAACCCCCGGCCCTCCTCCTCGGTCCACACAGCCTGCACCTTTCCCAGCTCAGTCACAACTGCAAACTTCCAGTTAGTCCGGCCAAAGCCCTCAAGGTGCCCTTGGTCCCTCTTTCTCGCACGCCTCACACCGGATGTGCCGGCTCATCCTGCTGGCATCTCCACCATGCCTCTGGAACTTGACCGCTTCTGCCCGGACAAGAGCCTAGCACACCTACCGTCTGGATGCCTGCAAGAGCTCAGAACCCGTCTCCTGGCTTCCACCCGCACTCGGCGTCCACACAGCAGCCTGAGATCCTCTGCAACCCAGGCAGGTCCTCTGCTCCTCTGCCCAAACCCACCACGGCGTCTGCATTCCAACAGCACGGCCCCCATTTCCCCTCTGACGTCACCTCTCCCTGCTCCCGCCACCCCCCCCCACCTGCTCCTGCTGGAACCCCACAGGCACACACCCCTGGGCGCCTCCACAATGGCTCTGCTTGGCACGTTCCCCCTTACCTCCGCAGGTCCTCTTCAGGGGCACTGTCTCCTCCCCTCCCTCTCCTGCTTTAGTCTGCCCCACGGCACTTACCTCCTGCTACTGAACGACACATCTTACATAGGTACCCCCAGGTAAGAGCTGCTCTCCTCACTAGTGTATAGGCACCTCGGGGCAAGGATGTTTCTCTTTCTCACGCACTAAAGTACCCAAGTGATTAGAACAGAACCTGGCACTTAGGGGCACCGGATAAATAATTGTTGAATGGATGCACGAAGGATAAAGGATTCCGTTGTGAATCATTTATCTTTATCAGAACACGATAACATTTTCGTTCATCAATTCACAACAGGATCTGTAACTAAAATTAAATTAGTCAGTCTTTGAAAGTTATGAAATTTAACAGCCCACTAGGAAGTGTCATTAACGGATATGTTTCTACCATACTCGTTCATTCATTTAATGAGTATTTGAGTCATTACTTTGCGCTGGTGCCGCTGCACTGGGGGTCTGGGAGCAAAGACAGGCCGGCCCTCACTCTTGAGCTCACAGTGCGGTCCACACGGCAAACCTGCCAAAGCCATCATGTGAGTAAATACAGTCTCACTACGGAGAGGGAACAGGCACTGTGCAGATGGAAAACAGGGGCACTGGGGTCTGTCTCGTTGGGCAATCAGGGATGACTTCCTGGAGGAAAGGACACCCGACCTGTGAGTGGTCAGCAGCTCGCCAACTAGGCCCAGAGCTGGGGGGACTTAGGTCAGAGGGAAGAACACGGCTCACACAGTGGAGTCCAGGGGCCGGGAGAAGGGCAGGGGGCTGGCAAGCACAGAGCTGAAGGAAGCAGGGGCCGCTCCACGCCAGGCCTCAGGCCACGTGGAGCATTCAGGCCTTATCTTCACTGCTTTAAAGCAGCAAGACGTCCTGGGCGTGTTTTAAACAGGGCAGGACTGATCTTCTCATATTTTGAAAAGAACAAAAGCTCAAGTTACACGTGGGACTTTACCATGCTAGCACTGGATTTACCAGATCTGAACAAGATTCCTCACTCCTGGGGGGTTACAGACACACCTGTTGAAATGAGTTTTGAGCCACAAAAGCTCAACAGTCAGTGCGGTATGAGAAGCGGGGTGGACGAGTTCTAGAACACCAGGTTTCCACCTCTCACGTTCCCTACGTACTCCCCTAGCTCTCTCCGGGCCTGTGTGGGCCTCAGCTGCCACAGGAACATTCATGCTCTGCTGGCTTTGCTGAGCCACGATGCCATGACTGGACTGCCGACCAGTGCTCAGACAAGGGAAGTGCATTTCACTAAAGACGACCCAATCGGGGCTCCCATGACTCCGGAGAGCAGAGCTGGCCTCCTGAATCCCCAGCCAGCACCGTCCCTCCCCTTCCCTGCTCCATGTAGTTGAAGCTCAATGAGAGTTATGAGCGGGGCCTTGCATGCATGAACGATCCCCTGTGGGTCCCGTGAACAATACACCTGCATGGAAAACTGCATGCTGGCTGAACCCCTCTCGCTCATTCCAGGGAACATGGATGCTTTGTGTACTTCAGCTGCCCCACTTTTTCTTGGGAACAGTGAAATGTCACTAGTTCCTTACTTAAGGTTTCTCTGCGTACAGAAAAATGGACAACAATTGCAAAAACATTCATCAAAAAAAAAAACAAATAGAGGACTCTTATTTCTGCTAGGTGAACAGCTCCAAAAACCGACCATACTCAAACATGGTAAGACGCACAAGGAGTTGGAGCCCACAGGTTACGGGGTGACGTGCCCACCAAAGGCCACTGCTGCCCCCCACTGGGGCCTCACGAGCCCACAACTCAGGCCAGGATCGGCCGGCCTCTCAGAATGGCATGGAAATCTCAATAAACATTAATTTTCTATTTTCATAAAGCATGGAATTCAAATGAAATCTATTTGCTCCAAGATGCTAATTAATCCAAAGAAATGCCCAAACTTCGTAAGTAGTAAATAACCATCAAGTTCCATAGCAATGCTATGGTCCCAGTTTCTTAAACGACTTAAACTCATGCCCCTTTTAATTTCCTTTTTTAAGTTTATTTATTTTGGGAGAGAGAGAGAGGGAGAGAGAGGGAGAGAGAGAGAGAAAGAGCACGAGAGGGGCAGAGAGGGAGACAGAGAGAGGAAGATAGAGAGACAGAGAGAGAGAGAGAGAGGGAGAGAATCCCAAGCAGGCCCCACACTGGCAGCACAGAGCCCAATACAGGGCTCAAACCCATGACCCTGGGATCCTGACCTGAGCCGAAACCAAGAGTTGGACGTTCAACCAACTGAGCCACCCAGGCGCCCCCCTCTTTTGATTTCTATAACAAAAGTGTAAACACCCCAGTTTCATCTTAAATTTAGGCTTACTGAGATTTCCAAACATATAGAATCCTGTTCCTTTCAAAAATATGTAACAAAAGCACTTCTAAATCAACTTAAAAATAAATGTGGTGTTGTACCCAACATCCTGATAAGAATAAATTTCTCAAGCACTAAACCACCTTCGACCAAAATTAAAGTGTGAATAAGTAAACAAAACAACCAAAAAGTAAATATCCTTTTTTTTTTTTAAATTAAAAACCATACATATCAGTTGCATAGTGGCATTTTAGCAAACATCCAATTTTGCCAAGATTATTATGGCTATAATTATAGACCTTGAAAGATGAAAAGGGATTTCTTTCTATGGTCTGTAAACCAACAATTACAATAAAAGCATCCCATCCTGGTCATCTTTCCAAAGGCTAAATTTAGAACCATTTTCAGCACAGATGCCACAGTATTTTCACTTCTGAAAGTACGTAATCAAAGTTCGATACAAATCAGTCAGCCGAGGTCAACTGAAACTAGCCAGCGCTCACCCGCCCCGAAAACAGCCTCATTGCAAAATCGGAGGAACGATCAATTCGAAGGGAACATGCCATTAACTCTCCCAAGTGACTTCAGCTGGATGGTGAGTGAGCAACCGGGAAAATCTCCAACTACATTAGACACCGGGAGCTCATAAAGCAGTTTCCAGATTGGAATTTTTAGGGCTTAGGGAGATCATTGAGAATTTTATCTGAAGCAAAAGTTTTAACATGACTGAATCTTTTATGATTAAAGTTTTAAGGCCCTGAAGTACTTTGTCAAGCCAGTGAACTGAAATCCGACGTGCCCCCAGAATCCCTGGGAGGCCGCCGAGGGCGCGGGGGCAGGCGGCCAAGGACACGGTGTGGTGGACCTGGAGGGGCCACACGGGACCTAGAGCCAACCAACCAGGGACAGGAGGACGTGTACTCACCATCTGAGGCACACCGAAAACAACCACGTTTGTGTACTGCGAAAAAGTAACCTAAAGAAGAGGGGGAACAAGGCACAGGTTAATTTAAAAGGCCAAACACAAGGATCCGTTTCATCAAACAGGTTTTCACAAGGGATGTGGCTTCCTTTAAGATTTCACGAGAAGAACCCAAGTTCGAGCTTCTGTCTCTTAATTCAGCCCATTACGGTTTTCCAAACACCTCCCTGTAAGTCACTCCTGCCATCTTCAGGGATACTCCACACAGGGCCCCCCAGGGGTCATCTGTCAGACTTGCCAGTGACTCATCCAGTGACCAGCCGGTGGCCATCTATGTCCCAGTCCACACTCTCTACGCTACCCCACCATACACCAAACCAGCTCAGCGAGAACTCGCGAGATCAGGGAACCACCTGCCTTTCGTGCTGAGCCATCCTTAAAATTCTAGTCCCTCGCCTCCTCTCGAAAATACTACCCAAAAACTGAAATAAAATGGTCTTTAGTCGAAAAACTGGGGGGAAAAGTGCTTTGCCAGTCAAAATTCTTATTGCCCAATAAAAGCCTTATTTACTCCATAGAGAGATCATTTACGTATATATGATATAAAAAACAACGCAAGCAAAGCTCAATGAATTTTTATAAGCTACTGATGACAATATTACAATGGGAAATTCTTATTTAAGAAAAAGCATTTTATGGAGCTTTCCTAAAGCAAAATTACAGGGTATTTTTTTTAGAGTACAAATAAACTTGGAAGTTTCTTATACATTATGAAGACCAGAAAGAACCATGAGAACATAGTGGATTCTTTCTTTTGCACTCATCTCTGCCTCTTGCAAAACACACCTGCACACACACAAGCACGCACACAGAAAAGTCCACCGTTTACCAAGAACATTAACAAATTAATGTCTACAATTTATGAGATTTCCAAATGAAGTCAAAAAAAAATTTCATCATTTTGTAATAAATAGAAATGAGAAATTTTTTAATTGAGCAAATTCTTGGAATTCACATGACATATCAGGTTTAAAACCTTAAGCTTCTACTCTAAAAGAGTTGATAGGTAAACCTGTCAATTTAAAAAGTGTTCACGTTTCATTATACAGAAACATACGCTTGTATTTTAACTATTTTTCCTTTAATACATTTTACATTTTTTTAATGTTTATTTTTGAAGTAGAGAAAGAGCACAAGCAGGGGAGGGGCCGAGAGAGGGAGACACAGAATCCGAAGCAGGCTCTAGGCTCTGAGCTGTCTGAGCAGTCTGACATGGGGCTCGAACTCACGAGCCGTGAGATCATGATCTGAGCCGAAGTCAGACACTTAACTGAGCCACCCAGGTGTCCCCATTTTATGTTTTTGAGTCACACTAATTATGAATTATAAAGTTTTGGTTGGCATTTCCTAGGACCATTCTCTGCCTTACATACCTTCCACAAATCTGAAATATAAAATTTGGCAGAGTCCTGCACCCCTTCTCGCCAAGCATGGTATCTGGAGTACCAAACGAGCCATGGGTTTAATTCATAACCGACAGCGGTGAATCCCTCCTTTGCAGCTGCTATCACCTGCAGAAAGAAGTGAGTGTTTATTCAAGATAAGAAAAACATCAACCTATGGAATGGGAGAAGGTATCTACAAATGCTATATTTGATAAGGGGTTAGTATCCAAAATACATAAAGAACTTCTATACTCAACACCAAAACACCTGAAACATTCCAATTAAAAATGGGCTGAAGATACGAACAGACATTTCTCCCAAGAAGACATACAGATGGCCAAAGAGACACATGAAACGATGCTCAACATCACTCATCATCAGGGAAGTGCAATCACACCTACAGTGAGATATCACCTCACACCTGTCAGAATGGCTAAAATCCCGAAACATAAGAAACACTGACGTCGGCGAGGATGTGGAGAAAAAGGAACCCTCATGCACTGTTGGTGAGACTGCAAACTGGCGCAACCACCGTGGAAAACAGTATGGGAGATTCCTCAAAAAATTAAAAATAGATTGACCATATACATGATCCAGTAATTCCACTACTGGGTATCTACCCAAAGATGAAAACACTAATTCAAAGGGATATATGCACCCCTATGTTTATTGCAACGTTATTTACAACAGCCAAATTATGGAAGCAGCCCGGTGTCCATCACCAGATGAATGAATAAAGACGAGATATGTATATGTGTATGTATATATATATATATATATGTGTGTGTGTGTGTACATAATGAAATCATAGTCATAAAAAAAGAATGAAACCTTGCCATTTGCAATGACATGGATGGATGTGGAAGAGTATGATGCTAATAAATAAAATAAGTGAGAGAAAGACAAATACTCATGATTTGACTCATATGTAGAATTTAAGAAACAAAACAAATGAAAAAAAAGAGACAAAAAAACACACTCCTAACTCTAGAGAACAAACTGATGGTTACCGGAGGGGAGGTGGGTGGGGGGCTGGGTGACAGGTAAGGAGGATTAACGGCACACTGATCATGATGGGCACTGAGTAACATACAGAAATGCTGAATTGATATATTGTACACCTGAAAGTAATAAAACACTATGTTAACTGTACTGAATTTTAAAAATAAATTTTAAAAATTTAATTGAAAAAAAAGAAAAACATCAACTTACGTGGTCAAATGATATGAATACCTCCCATTTATGGTCTGTAATCAAAACGTCCGATAAAAAAGGCACCTCTTTTGTTCAAAAGATCACTTAAAGACAGAACTCTAAAGTTCTACAGCTTTGTAGACAAGACAACGCTAACTGATTTAAAGTCAGTTTCTGTGTTCTTGTCAAAGATTTCACCGCGAGCATTGCAACAGTCAGGTTTGCTGTGGATAAAGCACTTCTGGATCGGCCGACCCCTGGGGACGCCTGACCAGTTGCTGAAAACCCAGTGTCTCTCTCCATCAGTGACAGCACAGCAGCGGGCAAGATGGACCTGCCTGGGAGAATGTTCTGTGAACTAGTTGTAATATGCAATCAAAATCCTGTCCGTGAAGAACCTGCCATTACTTATTACTTACACAGTTCCTTCGGCTTTAAAGACTGCTCACTCAAAACTGAAAACAGGTAAAAGAGAAGCGGAACGATTCAGAACAAAGTCAACCATAGAATGCCACCGGCCTCTGTAAGGTGAGGACAGTGGGCTGGGCCTGGGGCCTCTGCTCATTTGTCTTGCCCACTCTTCAAGGCAGCCTGCCTGAAGGAGCCGTCCGCCTACAGTAATTTCCCTAGTTAACTACAATGTCACCCCCTTAAGAAAAGGAAACCACAAAGATACTATTCAGATGTGAAAAGCATTCAAATCTGGATTTTAAAACTTCCTCCTGGTTAATATATACATCTTGCGGGGCTCCTGGGTGGCCAGTCAGTTCAGCATCCTACTCTTGATTTCGGCTCAGGTCATGATCCCACAGTCATGGGACCGAGCCCATCAGGCTCCGTGCTGAGTGTGGAACCTGCTTAAGATTCTCTCTCTCCCAGGGCGCCTGGGTGGCTCAGTCGGTTAAGCATCTGACTTTGGCTGAGGTCGTGATCTCAGGGGTCGTGAGTTCGAGCCCAACGTGAGATTCTCTGTTGACAGCTCAGAGCCTGGGGTCTGCTTCCAATTCTGTGTCTCCCTCTCTCTCTGCCCCTCCCCTGCTCACGCTCCATCCCTCTCTCTTCTCTCAAAAATAAATAAAACATTAAGAACAAAACTTAAAGATTCTCTCCCTCTCCTTTTGTCCCTCTCCCCCACTCATGCTCTCTAAAATAAAATATATACGTCTCTTGATTTCTTAAACAAGTCACTTCCTAACCTCCTTCTGGCTATTCGAGTCACTATGACGAAATCACAAGGTCCATGCTGCAGGGGTGGTGAAAGGTGTTGTGCCCCTTTTGGTCCCCATGTTTCCAGAACGCAGGCCTTGACTACCGCTATCCTCACTTTCTGGCTCATGGCTGGATGGAAGCCTAAGGATGATGCCACCAGGCCCATGAAGAAATGTGCTCTCGGACACCCACCGGGCAGTCAGTGGCCCTGAATCTTTATTTATAGGTTCTCAACTGGAGTCAGTATGCTGAGGTCACTCAAAGTCTGATCTTTGGATAAATGAGGGTTAATGGCGCTGGCTCTTTCCTATTTTAACTCTTCATTACCCCTTGAGATTATTATGCATGTAAAAATAGTAATAAACACAGAAGCAAACATCTCTGTTAAACTCTATGACTCAATGTTTCCTCTAATTATACCACCTCTACTGACCCAAGTTTTTTTATTGGACAATTTCATAATTACCAATTAATTGCTCCTTTTTACCTGGTGGATCTACAGAGCACTTTTTCCTTTCAGAAAAATTAAATCTGAGAAAAATAAATTCCAAATCATGCTGGAAGGTTTGATCATTAAACACACACAAAATACATGACGACTTAATTACCGTCAGATTTAACGGGGCTTTGCATAAGCCTCACAAGAAACGTGAAGCAGAAATTTTAAAACTTTGGGTTTGAAACCTTAAAATGCCTTAGCGGAACTCACAACACGTCCGTCGCCACTGCCAATGTCGACCAGGGATCCTCTTCTGCAATGCAACATTTTCACAACGTTGGCAATCTGCTTTGTAGTTGCGGGAACGAATGGCAAACAAATTTTTCGGAGGGCCGGTGTTAGAAACGGGGTGGCCACGGCATACACGGCCACCAGGGTCCCACCAACGATCCCAGTAAGGAAGAACCCCCAACTGCTTTTCTTCAAACCGTTGGCTCCAAGACCTGTAGGTAGACTACATCCTGACTGACTTTCTTCAAGTATTTCTGGGGGTGTACCTAGGTGGAAAGCAAGCAGGAAATATATACGTCACACCAAATCTGAAATCCAAGGTATTTTTTTCCCTGTGGTTCTTATTGACAAACTCGTACTGTGTAAAGAATAACTTAGCTGAATACAATCTAACTTACAAATGAAGGATTCCACACTGAGTTCCAAATTCTATCAACTAATGTGTTTTACAGAAAATTCTTTAAATCTAATAGAAAACTAAAATCCTTTGCTTCCAACATGATTTTTTTGAGTCATCCTTAGAAAACAATGTGTTCATCTCTATTTAGCATTTTATGAATTCAATATATCCATTAATACAGATGTTAACCATGAACTCTGTATTTTTACGGTTTAGAACAAAGCCTCACAAATAAGCATTAAAATGTCTAATTACTGCCTTATTTTAAATAAGATGCAAAGATTCCACATCAAAACGGGTTAGGCATCTATAATCCAGGTGCAGTAATACGATTTTCAAGTAACAAGAGACCAAAGTCAGGTTCCACTAAAAAAAAATAAGTATGATAATGAAAAGATTTTTTAAAAAGACCCAAAAAGAACAAAAGATAAAATAATCATTTCAATGCACCAATATGAAATAAAGCAAACTCCAATCACTGAAAACAGAGAAATGAATGATCTATCCTCCTCTTGAGTTTTACCCTTTAAAATACATTCTTGGGGCGCCTGGGTGACTCAGTCGGTTGAGCGTCCAACTCTTGCTTTTGGCTCAGGTTGTGATCTCACGGTTCATGAGTGTGTCGGGTTCTGCACTGAGCATGGTGTCTGCTCGGGATTCTCTCTCTCCCTCTCTCTCTCCGCCCCTCCTCCCATGTGTGCACTCTCTCTCAAAGTAAATACACTTTAAGAAAATAAAATACATCCTCAGGAAGATCTCAAGTTCTGGAGACTGAAACTGATTTCATTTTGAAATCGATTGAGGGGGAAGGACACATCAAGAGCACAACCCCAAGGTTAGGACCTGGGCTCCGCACCTTGCCAACGGTACGATCCTTTGCCTCTCTGAATCTCAGTTCGCTCATCTGACTCACGGGGATTAGAGTCACCACGCGGATAAAACTAGGGGACCCACTTAGAACATTGCCCAGCACAACAGGGCCCGTTGCCGTTATTATTTATCCACAGTTGGCTAGATGCTGAACCCTACAGGGAGCAAGGCTGCCCTGAAGCAGCTCGGTGTAGTAGAGAAGACAAGGCCAGAAACACAGGAATCATAAGAAACAGAAGACAGTAAGAGGGAGGACACCGGATTCTGGTCATTCGAAGATGTTCTTATTCATGGCTGCAGGAATCAGTAAGCCATTCAAAGCGCCCACTGGATTCCATTCCCAAGGCTGCAGTAGGAAACCACCACAAACTCAGAGGGTTAAAACAACACATGCTCATTATCAAACAGGTCTGGAGGTCAGCTATCTGAAATGGGTTGGAAGCACTGGGTTCCTTCTGGAGGCTCTATGGTAGGTTTGCTTGCCTTTTCCAGCTTCTAGAGGCCACCTGCATTCCTGGGCCAGTGGCCCCACGTCACCCCAACCTCTGCTTCTATCAGGATACCTCCTTCTGACTCTCCTGCCTCCCCCCTTTATTTTTAAATCTGTTTATTTATTTTGAGAGAGCAAACTTGGGTAGGAGAGGGGCAGGGAGAAGGGGAGAAAGAATCCCAAGCAGGCTCCACACCGTCAGCACACAGCCCAAGACAGGGCTCGAACTCACAACCATGAGTCCACCACCTGAGGTGAAATCAAGAATCAGGCGCTCAACCTAATGAGCCACCCAGGCACCCCTCCCTTTTCTTTATAGGGACCCTGTGATGACAGTGGGTGCATCCAGACAAGCCAGCAGAATCTCCCCATCTCAAAGTCCTAACTTCACCCCATCTGCAGATTCTCTCATGTAACATATTCACCGGTTCCAGGGATTAGGACATGGACGTATTTGGGGGGTCTGCCTACCACACTCATGAAATGTGGTGATCTGTTACAACTTTGTGAGGTACAGGTGTGAACACAGGACACACGAAAAGCTGGCCCACTGCAGTGAGTCACTGCTCCAGGGCAACCGACCAATCACCAATATCTCACGCACAGTAGAGCTTTGTTCCGGACACCTGAGGTCCCCTAAAGTGAGCTTTGTTTTGTTTTTTACTTTAGAGACAGAGCACACATACCCACAAGCAGAAGGGGGGAGGGGGGGAGAGAGAGCACGAGAGAGAGCGAGAGTGCATCTCAAACAGGCAAGCTTAGCGAGGAACACAACCCAGGGCTCAGTCCCACTGCCATGTGATCATGACCTGAGCCAAAATCAAGAGTGGGACCCTCCACTGACTGAGCCACCCAGGCACTTCTAAAGTGACTTTTAAATCTGGTTACACAGTGGAAAACCAACTCAGAAACAAGAACAACAAAAGTCTGCTGCTGGTGCTGGAGGTAAGATAAAAGGTAAAGTTTAGGTAGGTGACGGTGTTTGATGGAAAGCAAAGGTTTTAAATACATTTTGTTATACTTATCAGCATCGTATGGAGGAATTTACATGCTATAGCAATAGTCATGCATTTGACTGTTTTTTAAAAAGTCAAAGCACCATCTCCCATGCCTCTGTAAAATTATCCTGTGGGCATTCCAATTATACAGTACAGTGGTTAAAAGGATTTGAGTCATCAAGTTCTGGAGTCACAGAAGTTAACTAGTGTGAAACATTAGATAAGTTTTTGCCAAGGCTCAGATTCTTCGCTTGTAAAATTCAGAAATAATACTATCCTCACAGGATTATTGGAACACTTAAAAAAATAATACAGATAAAGCATTTAGTGCTCTAAACGAGACAATAAGTGATAACTGTTGGCTACTATTGTCAGTCTCAATACTATGCTTGGGAAGAGATCCATAGTTTTTAACAGTTTTATTGAGATGTAACTCATATGCCACACAATGTGCCCATTTAACGTATATGGTCCTAAGGTTTTCAGTATATTCATAGATAGATGTCACCATCACCACAGTCAATTTTAAAAACATTCTCATTACCCTTAAGCTTTACCTATCACCCCCCACCTTTCCTTTCACACCTTAGCCCTAAGCAACCACTGACTGACTTTCTATCCCTAGAGTTCCTATTCTGGACTTTCACAGAAGTGGACTCATACAGTATGTGGTCTTTTAGGAATGGCTTCCTTCACTTGGCATAATGTTTCCAAGATCCGAGCATCAGTACACTTGATCCTTCAACAACACGGGTTTGAGCTACGCAAATCCACTTACAGGTGGATTTTTTTTCATAGAGTACTGCAAATTCATTTTCTTTTATGATTTTAATAACACCTCGCCTCTAGGTTATTTTATCATAAGAACACGGCATATAACATACAAACAAAAACGCTGACTTCTGACCAATAGGCTGTTAGTAAAATTTGGGCGGGGGGGGAGGGGGCTGGGCTGGAGTCGAAAGTTATAGGTGGATTTTGACTGCATAGGTCTGACTGCACAGGTGTAGACAGCACCAGCACCCCGAACGCCCACGTTATTCAAAGGTCACCTGTACTTTTTTTTGTGGCCGAATCTAAGCCTGTAAAGGATTAGCTCATGATCAGTGTTCTCAAGAAAAGGCGGCAGAAGCTATTTAGAGGACAGAGTAATTAGGAAGATAGAATGGCCAGGGAAGATCGCCAAGGCAGCACAAAGCGGGGCTTTGGAGTGGGACCCTTAGCGCTACACAATCTTGCTTCTTACTAGCTGTCTGACGTTGGCCAAGTTACTGGACGATGTGCACAATGAGGATTTCTTCAACGAACACTTACACGGAACTTGCTTGCTAAGGGCCCGGCACTGCTCCCCCCGAATCCTTTCAGGAGCCGTGCAAGGCAGACAGTACGGTTCCCATTGGTATTTTTGCAAGCAAGGTAACCGAGGCACAAAGAGGCTACTGCCCACCGAGACCCAGCTGGCAAGGGGCCACGCGGATCCCCACCCACACGGGGGCACTCCGGTCAACTCAGAAGATCGTGCTGCACACGCCTGGAGTCACTCGCCCTAAGGCGCTCAGAACAGCTCCGGGCAGCTAGACGCGGGTACCAGCGCGCGCACTGCGGCCCGCGCCCCGCACGCCAGACTCCGAGCCAGGGCTGCGGCCGGCGACTCCCACTCCCGCCCGGCCAGGAGCCCAACGTGAAGCCCGGCCCCGCCACCCCGGCAACCCGCCGCGCCCGCCGGCTCACCGCCTCCTCCCTCCATCGCGAGATTTCCTGCGGCCGGAGGCGGGGCTGGGAGGATGGAAATCCGGAAGTGGGTTCTACCATCTCCTCCGAGCCGGGGAGGGGGGCACGGAGGGAGAAACTAACGGCGTGACGAAACGAGTTCCTCGTTGGGGCCCCCTGCCCAGAAACTCTCGAGCGTGAAGCTTTAGCAGATGAGCTCGATCTGCTCTCGGCTGGAGGGTTTTAAGTTCCCGTCCGCGTCTTCGAGCTTCCTCTCCCCGACAGGGTCCTGGACGATAGAAGTTCCCTGAGGCCCCTGATTCCAGAAGCTACGGTGTGGCGTTAAACTAGTCTCGCGTGAAAAATAAGTCTCGCGCGCCCGGACTGCGCACGCGCGCGCTGTGGCGCCCTCCCGCGACCGGAAGGCGTGCTCTCGGTTCCGGAGCGGACTCCGCCGGTCTGGGGAAAGTAACCAGTGCTGCCGCACCATGGCGTCCGTCGGGACCCTCGCCTTCGATGAATATGGGCGCCCTTTCCTCATCATCAAGGATCAGGATCGCAAGTCTCGTCTTATGGGACTTGAGGCCCTCAAGGTAACGGGACGGACGCTGGCGGTGGGATGAGAGGGGAGGCGGCCGAAGCCCGCGGCTCTGCGCCTGCGCAAGCATGGGAGCGGTTCAGCCATGTGCTCCCCGGAAAGGTCGGGGATCCCCTCTCGTCTTCGGCCCTGCACCCCGCTCCTTTAGCTCGGGAGAGGCCGATGTAGAAGCCTTTAATCCCGGTTTGGAAGTTGGGGTGGAGCCCCTAGCGCCCTTCAGCGTTGGGTGGGGCGGGTTCAAGTCCTAGGCTCTTAGCCCGCGTCTCCGATCGCTTCTCCAGCCTGTGGTCGTTCCTTACGGTGTTTCCATCGGGAAAGGCAGAGGTCATTCTCAGGTCACCCGGCTGCGAGAGAAACAATAGCCCATGAGGATGCCGTTCGTTTTCCGGTCACTCCTTAAAGACTTGGTCGCCTGTAGAGTAATTTCTTGCGATGCGTGGCGTAATACTGGACGCGGTGTCGTGAAAATTAAAAACGTGTGCTTTTAACGCAGAAACTTACCACCGCGAGAGTGGAAAGTGGACACCAGTGACCGTAACACAAGGCAGCGTGTGACTGGAATCACCAGTTACGGATGCAGCTAAAAGTTGGAGGGTGTCCTAGAGACGTTTAGTGGAGACTGGCTTCTGATCGGGGATGGCGTCACTGCTTTGAATGCGAGAGAGAGCGCGCTAGCGCCTGGGGGAGAAGGGACAGCAAAAGCCAAAAGCTGGGCAGAACGCATGGCACGTTGTAGGGCAGAAGAGCAATCTGGTTTGGAAGGAGCACAGTCTAGTCTCAGTGAACGGTAGGGCCCCAAAGGTGGAAGCCCTCGAATGCCCCACAGTCAAGATGTTATCCCTGGAAGGAGGGAGCCCTTGAGGGGGTTTTGAGCAGAGCCACGGTTGAGGTAGAAGCGTGCTTCAGAAAGTAGGGTCTGGTGGACCAAAGGGGCCAAGAAAGACCAGAGGCGTTAAACCGCCAGGAGTCCAGGTGAGCACAAGCCTGTTTAAACAGACGAAGAAACAAACCGTAGAGTTCCCTCGCTGTTTGCCTTAGGACAAGCTGCACAGCCTCTCTGCACCTCCTTTCTCGGCGGGGGCAGCACGCCTCTGTGGAGCTGGGGATGAGGATCGAACGGGGCAACTTAAGCAGGGGCCACACGGTGCTCGATCTGTGGTGGATACTCGAGCGCTTGTATCACATACTCCGTTTCATCGTTCGTTTAAAGGAACCAGCAGAGAACGTACCCTCCAATACCTCGTGTGTAACAGCACGACAAAAGCTACGTGTTGTGCGTGAGCTGTCACGCTGGCTAGTTAATGGTCACTCGTACTCTGCATCACACCATCCTCACGCTCGGAGGTAGGTATTGGGGTGACAGCTGCAAGCGTGGCCCCGGAGCGGGTAAGGTGACAGAGCTAATCCAGAAGGGGGGCATGATTCAAGCCCACCCCTGGCTGACTCCAAAGCCAGAGTTCGGAGCATCGGCAGGGTTAGCATTCGGGGCCAGGTCATTCTTTTTGTTGTGGGGGCCTGTCCTCTGTCGGACACGGAGCAGCAGACGGGCCTCTACCCACTTTGTGCTGTTAGCGGCCCCCACCCCATTTGTTAGAACCAGCAATGTCTGCAGGCATTGCCAGGGGGCTCCTGAGGGACAGAATCCTCCCTGGTTAAGAGCGGCTTACCTGTGATTACCTTCCTCTAAAAAATCCATTACACTGACAGATCGGGCAAAGTGTATTTTCGTGGTTACCAGCATTTTCACCGATCCGTGAACTCTGTGTCTTGTCTCAGCTGCCAGATGCAGGGACTAGGGAGGGCTCCGCGGATCATGGGCATTTGAACTGCGTTCAGTGTCGGTCAGCGTTTTGATGACTGGAGGGCCTTCGGTGCATTAGCGCTTCAAGGATCAGAGGGCATATGTGGGGGGGACACATGGACGGCCATCGTCACTGGAAGGGAACTAGGTCTCAGATTGTGGGGGGCATTGAAGAAAAACTGAAGCTTTCAGACTCCATGTTGAGGCACTAGGGAGTCATTGGAGGTTTGGGGACCGGCAGATGACACGGTTGAAGAAAATGGGTGAGTTAGCTGGGCGTCAGATGGACCTAAAGGACAGACGGTGAGATCAGAGACCCCGGATTTCTGTAGGGTGCTGTGGAGCCAGGCCAGGCTGGTGACAGCAAGACTAGGAACGAAGGAAACAGCATCTGCAGAAAAAACACACTGCTGATCGTGTGTGCAAGCAGGAAAGGATGCTTGCAGGTTTCCGTTGAGTTAGCTGTCGATGCCCTGGGCAGATGGCAAGGGTGACTTTTCACCTATGGGCTGTGTATTGACTCAGCCGTCAATTTCTGGGTGTGTTTCTGCAGTAAGTCTAGTATGCCGGTTCAAGGGGCTGTACGTGTACATCTGGACTCTTGACATGAGGCTAGCATTGCAGGACGGTCTTGCAAGGCCTGTCCCTGTCCCGTCAGACCGCACCTGCTGTGAAGTAGGGCAGATAAGAGAACCTGCCTCGTAGGTGTGCTGGGAGTTAAAGCTCTAGGCTCTCGTTCTTTTGTGTAAGAATTACCTACTAAAGCTGGTGGTTGTTATCACGCCAAGGTTTAGACTTGGGTGTTGCCTCTTAAATGTAGAAGCTTCTGGAGAACAGAAACTGTTCTGTATGATTGGATTTTATAATCATCAAGCGTATGCTTCTAACTATTAAAAATTGGGGGGCCTGGGTGGGTGGCTCAGTCGGTTAAACATCTGACTCTTGACTCCAGCTCAGGTCACGATCTCATGGTTCATGAGTTCAAGCCCCATGTCGGGAGGTGCCTGCGTGGGATGCTCTCGCTGTCTCTCTGCTCTCTCCCTCTTGTGCTCACTCTCTTTCTCTCTCAAAATAAATAAAAATAAACTTTAAAGAAAACCACTGAATTGTTAAAGTTATTTGTAACTTGAACCTTTTCTGTGTCTTTCATTTAGTCTCATATCATGGCAGCAAAAGCTGTAGCAAACACAATGAGAACATCACTTGGACCAAATGGTAAGAGACTACCATTCTATGTTAATGCATGTTATGTCTAAATCGTGGAGAGTTGATGGAACCCTTTTATAGAAATTTGGGACGTGGAGCAGGGGGCGTCCTAGGCCTCCGGCACTAACGCACTTGTTTTGTGTATTTCAGGCTTTAAACACGTTTATACGTGCACGTACAATTTTAGGTCAGAGGTTTCTTTCTTCTTTTAACATTTTATTAGCATTTTCCACATCAGGGCTGTCATTTTTTGTAATTAATACATTTAGTGATGCTCCACCCCCATTTCTCTAGTTTTAGCCCTTTAGGTGGTTTTGTACTCACCAGTGCAAAAATGTCTGCACACAGATACTCTCTTACGTATGCTGAATTTTTCTGATAAATTCTGTAAATAGGCATTGGGTCAAGAGGTCTAGCTTTTTTTTGGTTTTGGTGCAGATTGCATTTTTGTTTGGTTTTGTTTTGGGGGGGCTTTTTTTGGTTTTTTGTTGTTTTTTGCATAATGTCATTCTAAACGTTGCTGTCTTCCTAGGACTTGATAAAATGATGGTGGACAAAGATGGCGATGTGACGGTGACTAACGATGGTGCTACCATTTTAAGCATGATGGACGTCGATCACCAGATTGCCAAGCTGATGGTTGAACTGTCCAAATCACAGGATGATGAAATTGGAGATGGGACCACGGGAGTGGTTGGTAAGAAAGCAAATTATCCTTACTTGTTTGAGAGGCATTCCTTAAAGTCACGCACACCTGCCAAGAGTGTTTGCTCTGAATCAGATCATGAGAAGACTGTTGCACAAATCCAAGTTGAAGGACATGCCGAAATACAAGCAGCCTAGACTCTTCAGAAGTCCTTGTCCTGGAACAACAGGACAGTTCTTCAGGGGAGAGTTAAGCGGCTCTTCTAGATCAGGAGAGCCAAAGAGAAATGACACGCGGCTGTAATGCAGAACACTTGATGGGATGCGGGCTTTTTCTTTATTTAAACTGGGGGGGGGGGGGGGGGGGGGGGCGGTGTTTGGGATACATGGGAGGATTTGTGGATCGTGCATCGCAGAGTAGTGCCCTGTTAAGTGTCCTGAGTGTGACAGGTATGTTAGAGTGATAGGGAGATTGCCCTCGTATCTTAGCTTACAGCTGAGACGTGTCATGATTTCTGCACCTCTCACATAGTTGAAGGGAATAGGTGTGGGTTCGTAGAGAAAACAAATGTGGCAAAATAGTGTTAATCAGTAAACGATTCATTTGAATGTTCTTACGTTTTCTCTGAAGTTCTGATATACTTAGAGATGGGGAAGATGGAAGAGAGAAATAGCTTTAACGTTACTTTTTCTGCAGATGAGGTTTGAATTCATTTATTCAGCAAGTATTTGTTGGGAACCAAGCACTGTTATGGATGTGCTTGGAGTATAGCAGTATTGAAACAAA